TGGGACTAAGTCCCTTGTACTGCAGCCACTTCTGGCCTATTAATACAAATATTAACAGATATGCCACAGAAATTAGTTTTATCTTAAACTTTAAAAAATAAATAAAATAAAATAATGTTTAAATTTCCACGCCTGGCAGTGAGGATCCTTGATTTGGGCCATTCATTTCTGGATGCCAGTAATAATGTGTGTCTGTTCTTTCTATTGCAGAGCGCAATGCTGGAAGTGTGTGTTGACAGTGTGGAGTCTGCTCTGAATGCTTACAATGGGGGAGCGTCTCGTCTGGAGTTGTGTGCAGCTTTGAGTGAAGGTGGGCTCACCCCCTCTCCAGGAATGCTCCAGATTGTTAAATCTCTTGTAACAATACCAGTATTTGTAATGTTGCGTCCTCGTGGGGGTGAAGATTTTGTGTATTCATGTTATGAAGTTGAGGTTATGAAACATGATGCTAGCATATTAAAGAACTTGGGTGCGGATGGATTTGTGTTTGGAGCTCTGACTCCATCTGGTGAGATAGACAAGAATGTCTGCAAGGAAATCATGGATGTAGTGTCGCCTCTGCCAGCCACATTCCATCGAGCATTTGATGTGTGTCATAATATCCGCATGGCTCTACCAGCTGTCATAGAGGCTGGATTTTCCCGTCTTCTGACCAGCGGACAGGAGTTAACAGCACGTGAAGGAATTCCTGTTATAAAGAAATTAGTTTTGGATGCAAATGGACGAATTATTATCATGCCTGGTGCAGGAATCACAAAAGTGAACATTGGGGAAATTCTTCGACAGACAGGAGCACGAGAATTTCATGCATCAGCTAAGGTTTTGAAGAAATGTAGTGGTCCACCCAGCAAGTGCACCCTGGGGTCCAGGAGTCAGCAGAATGTGCTTGTGACATCAGAAGGGCTGGTTAGGGAAATGGTGACAGTTGCTGCTGAAATTGTGAGAACCAGCAAGTGGGAAATCAGCGTGTGAGTCACTGGGGCATGCTGTATTTCAGTCGCTAC